GCAGCTTTATCATAACCCAAAGGAGGATGCATGTATACCACCTCATCTAAATGTCCATACAAAAAAAGCGTTATTAACATCCAATTGATGGATAGGCCAACCTTTTGAAGCTGCTATAGTAAATAGAAGCCTCACAGTGACTACTTTAGCAACAGGAGAAAACACCTCACAGAAGTCTTCACCTTCAACTTGTGTATAGCCTTTTGCAACTAGTCTGGCCTTATATCTATCAACTGTCCCATCAGCATTTCTCTTTATCTTATAGACCCATTTAGAGCCAATAGCTTTCTTGCCTGCAGGTAAACTTGTTAATTGCCAAGTATCATTGTCTTCTAAAGCCTGTAATTCTTTATTCATGGCCTCTACCCACTTTAAGTTTGTTCTGGCTTGATTATAAGTAGTAGGTTCATGTGTGTCAGAAACATTTGCAACAAAGTTCATATATTGTACAGAAAGCTGACACTTAGAATCATCCAAGACTAGAAGGCTAGAAGGATCAATACAAGAATGTGAGGTATAAAAGTCAGCAAGGTAAGAAGGTGGTTTTCTAATTCGACCACTGGTTCTGATTGGTGGTTGAGGATTCATAACTATCTCATGTGAATCTAAATCATTAGATGTCTGTGATGAAGATGAAGACATTGTCTCAGAATGAGAGGATGATGACTGTGAACTAGGTTCAGGAGCTGTAGAATAAGGACTCTGATGAATGTCAAAAGGTGATGCATCATCTGTGTGAATGACATATGAAGGAGATACAACATTATCAAGCTCCTTTGTAAGGGATGGAAACAATGTTTCATGAAACAAAACATCTCTGGAAATCAAAATTTTATTGAGAATAGGGCAATAAATTTTGTACCCTTTTGATTAGAAGGATACCCCACAAAGATCCCTCTATATGACCTAGCATCAAACTTATCCTTTCCAGAAGCTTTGTTTAAAACAAAAGCTTGAAAACCAAAACTTCTTAAGAAAGTAAGATCTGGTGGTTATGATGAAGTAGTTCATATGGTGTCTTCCATTTCAGAATTGGTCAAGGTAAACAGTTGATCAGAAAAGTGGCTGTGAGTAAAGATTTCCCCCAGAATTTCTTTGGTAACTTGGATTGTATGAGAAGAGAACGGGCAATCTGCAATAGATGCTGATGTTTTCTCTCCACAACACTATTTTGTTGTGGAGTATATGGACAAGATTTTTGATGTAGAATTCCTAGGCTGGAAAAAAGGTTAGAACATGAAATATTGACAAACTCGGTTCCATTGTCACTTCTGATTCTCTTAACTACCCCATTGTATTGAGTTTTGACCATTCTAAAAAAATGATCTAACAAGTAAGGAACCTAAGATTTATGCTGAAATAACAAAGTCCATGTAGATCGACTATGATCATCTATAATGGTCAAGAAATACTGACAATGTGTAAAGGAATGAACATGAAAAATACCCCACACACCAATGTGCAAAAGCTCAAAGCAATTCTATGATTGAATATGACTAATGGGAAAAGGTTTACAATGCTGCTTAGAAAGAGGGCATATCTCACAGTGTTCTAAGCATGAATCCTTCAAAGATTTTTCTGAACAGCTAAAATTATGTGATTTAATGATTTCCTGTAAAACTGGCAAAGAAGGATATCCCAGTCTTGAATGTAAAAGAAAAGGAGTAACTGCAACACAAGCTGCATTTTCTGTTTTATTACAATTGGAAAAATGGGAAAGAGGTCTGTTTCCTAGCATATATCCTGCAAAGATCTCTTGTGTTTTTAATATGGCTTCTGAGGTGAAAGATGTATGATCCAACACATACAGTTCTCTGATGACTCTCCCAGCTATAAGGACCTTTCTTGATTCAAGGTCCTGCAACAGACAGAAATCAGCATAGAAACGAAAAAATATGTTTGATACTTTTGCTAATCTCCTAACTGATAGAAGATTATATTTGAAATCAGGCACATGAAGACATGATGTCAAAGTGACAGAATCTGATAACACAACATTTCCTATATGAGTCACAGATTTGATTGATCCATCAGGCAACAAAATAGGAGTATATGATTGGACTGGTTGAGGATGATTCATTAATGCAATATCTCTACACATATGACCAGTTGCACCGGTATCAGTCACCCATGACCTAGGTCCTATAAAATCGTAGGAATCAGAACAAAACTTAGAATAAGTAGTATTACCTGCCATATCATGATAATGCACCATCTTCACCATGGAAGGGCCTGCATGATCAGTGACTGTTTTCCCTTTATCCATCTTTTCCATCTCCTTCTGTACTGCATTTTCTACCATCATCCGTAAATCATTAGGAGTTTCCAGTTCTAGAGACAAAGGCGTGTCAACCATGTATGCAGTGTTGATCTTGTTTCCAGGCTTCCTTGGATTATTTGGCCACCATTTTGGAAATTCAATCAGCTTAAAACACCCATCCTTGAGATGACCATCTCTCTTGCAGTATGTGGATTTCAGGCCTTTCTTGTCTAGATGTGGTGGATATCCATTCAGTTTATAGCATTCTTCCCTCAAGTGTCCATCTATCTGACAATAGCTGCATTTCTTTTGTGATTTGTTCATTGAATTTGATCCTCCAGCACCTTGATTCCGTTTCCAGTCTGGTACCTTAGCCACCATTGCCAAGTTTTCTGTGCCAGAAGCAATATTTGTGGTAACTTGTCGAGCTGTTTCTGCTTGAACCAGCATATTATAAACTATTTCTTCTTCAGGCAGTGGATCCATAAAAAGAATCCTGCTCTTCTCTTACTCATATATCTCATTTAATCCCATGAGCAACTCCATAGATTTGTCCTCAACAGCACGAGTTCTTAACAGATTTTCAATTTCTCCTTCAATTACAGGTGTAGGCCTCAATTGTTCATATTGATCCCATAATTGCTTCAATTTGCCATAGTACTATGCCATTGAAGAATATCCTTGTCTAACCAAAGTTATCTCACGCTTTAACTCAAACAGTTGAGGTGAATTAGTTGTTCCATATAATTTCTCAATCTGTTTCCAAAGAATCTTTGCATCATGTATGAACATAAAAAGATTCACCAATTCAGGAGCAATCGAACTCTTAATCCACGAACAGACTAAACTGTTTGCACGATCCCATCTAATACGTTTCAAAGTATTCTTTGGTGGCCTAGGTAAAGTTACGTCTATGAAACACAGCTTCATTTTTGCTTGTAAAGCAGGAATCATGGTATTCTTCCATAGCAAATAATTTTTTCCATTCAGAGGTACCGAAACAAGAGGAGTATCTGGATTCTCATAACCGTGTACATGTAACTTCTCTTCAATTAGAAGTTCCAATTCACGCTGATTTGCTTCTGCAAGAATTTGACGCCTCATCAACTGTTCATTCTCCATCCTTGACTGATTCTTGATCAAGAAGTCAGATCTCGAAGGAATATATGTAGAATTTGTTCTGAATCAAAGATTTAACGATTTAACCCTAACTTGAAGATTTTGTAATCGTTTGATCAGAGTATATTCGTGCGGAATTATAGAGCAGGAATCAAACCTGCTCTGATACCATCACAAATTTGCTGATACTGATCATCAGAAAAAAACGAAAACGAAGAAGAAGAAGATGAAGTAAAAGAAGATGAAATCAAGAAAATGTGAAGAAAGAGTCTTCTGGAAACTTGAACATTCAGATTCACTCCTCTATTACAAATCATCATCTCTATATATATACATTCAATCTTCTAGAATGTGTCGGCTAACCAATTTGACTAAACCGACTTAATTTCCAGAATCAATCCTAGCCATCCAATCCTGTAACTGACTTAAGATCGAACAGTTGCTGCTTCTTCAATTCAAATACTACTTCCCGCTAAGGTCTGTTGCTAAGATCAGGAGAAAGAGGAAAAGACGGCTGTGGATTAATCCAAATAAGCTGAGCTGTCCGTGTTGAATTCAAACCTGCTTTGTTCATTTCCGCAATCTCGCCCCTCAAAATGGGATGAAACTAACTTAAAAATGCCCAGTGCCAGTAGATTGAGAAATAAAAATGTGTTGCAAGGTATACCAGTTGTGCCGATGTCAAAAGCATTAATAACAAACACAAAATGCTATAGGGTTAATTCTCATGACTTTACCGGCGAATTTGATTAATGAAGAAGTGCAATTTATTCTAGAAATTCAAACGAAAGAATCCCAATAATAAATTGGAAACAAGAAACCTAAACAGTTTTCGTAAACTATAACATGACTTTAGTATTTGAAGATTGATTCATGGAGAAGATGACAAAAGAGTGAATTAGGAAAAGTAAACTGTAGAAATGGACTTTGAGGAGGAATTCCGAATTTGTTTATGGCAGCTGAGATTTCGTTAGAAATATTAGAAGAGACAAGGAGACCTGTTTCCAGAAAAAAAAAAAGAAAAAAAGGAGAGGATTAACGCATGAAATATATGAAGGGATGGGTTTGAGATTTGACTCATTACGGGAAGTTTGGGTAAGCCGACCGTCTTTTGCTCTGACGGCTAATTTCTGCTCTTGCATTATCGCCTCCCTTTGCAAAAATAATTATGGTGTAATCAAATTTAAATTTGGCGTTCAAAAGGGTAACGACATAAAATGATGTTTAAGCTCAACTTTAAAAGTAGCCTAATATTATTATGTCACGCTACGTGAAAGTTGAGACAAAATCTTTTCCTTTCTTTTTCTTTTCCCTTTTTTGGTAAATAAAATCAGACAAAAACTGATATGAACTTTGAAGCGGTCTGAAACTGATCCAAAACCGCTGAGAAACGAGGCAATGACGTCCGTTTCTTCCGACGTGTCCGCCGCTTACGGCCCTACGACGCCACGTAGACTCTTGTCTGCTGCCACGTTATACCCCCACTCTTGCCACTCCTCTCCCCTTTCCCGCCTTTCCACCATTTTCTTCCCCCCTTTAAATTCGCGTTCCCCTGTTTCATCATCACCGATCAGCAGAGAAGTTTCAGTTGCAGAGATTCAAAATTCAGTAATCAACGAAAATGGCATCCGGCGAGCAGCAGCAATTTCCACCTCAGAGGCAGGAAAAACAACCCGGAAAAGAACATGTTATGGAACCGACTCCTCAGTTCTCCAGCCAGGACTACAAGCCATCTAACAAGCTTCATGTAAAAATTTCAAAGATGACCCATGAATTTTCATCTTCTTTTTTTTTTTTTGATGGGTTATTTATTCTAAATGAAATTGATTGATTTATTACTGCAGGGGAAAATAGCTCTGATTACTGGCGGAGATTCGGGAATTGGGAGGGCAGTTGCACACGCTTTTGTTCTTGAAGGAGCAACAGTGGCTTTTACTTATGTTAAGGGAGTTGAGGATAAAGACGCTTCGGACACGATCGGGATGTTGATGCAAGCCAAAGTTTCTGATGCGAAAGATCCGATCTCGATCCCTGCTGATTTGGGGTACGATGAGAATTGCAAAAGGGTTGTTGAAGAAGTGGTCAATAAGTTTGGTCGGATCGACATTTTGGTGAACAATGCGGCAGAGCAGTATGAAGCTGTCTCTGTTGAGGAGATTGATGAAGAAAGGCTTGAAAGGGTGTTCAGAACCAACATCTTTTCTTACTTTCTCATGGTCAGGTATTAAAAAAAATTAGTTTTGATGTAAGAAATCTAAAGTTCATTTATGCTATGAATTGCTAATGACTGAATTGATTATCATTTTAGGCATGCATTGAAACATATGAAGGAAGGCAGTTCTATAATCAACACCACATCAATCAATGCCTACAGAGGACATCCCAAGTTGCTTGAATACACATCTACCAAAGGGGCTATTGTTGCTTTTACCCGAGCACTTTCACTGCACTTGGTGGAGAAGGGAATTCGAGTAAACGGCGTTGCTCCGGGGACGATCTGGACTCCGCTGATTCCGGCTTCCTTCACCGAGGAAGAGGTTAAGAGCTTCGGGACTGAGGTGCCAATGAAGAGGGCTGGCCAGCCCATTGAAGTTGCTCCTTGTTTTGTGTTCCTGGCCTGTAATCACTGCTCTTCTTATATCAGTGGCCAGGTTCTCCATCCTAATGGTAATAAGCGAATTTCCTTCTGGTTCAGTTCCTTCTATTTTCAACAATTTGCTTCTTTCATTATCTGACTTTTCTCGGGATTTTTGTGGCTTCCGCAGGTGGGGCTGTGGTCAATGCTTGATGATGGACATGCATCAGATCAGTGTTGGATCTTTAGTGAAGTGAGAATGGTTGTTGTAGTGTGTGTTAAATGTCACCCTGTTTATACACACCGGAGTAGTAGCCACTTCCTCTCTTAGTTCTGCCACACTTTTTCTCCTTCCCTTTCTGTATCAAGTATCTTGTGTCCCAGTATATGGATGAATATATATGTTTAATAGTAAGTTCGGTTTGTATCTGTATTTACCCTTCTGGAGTTTCGGTTTCTTTTATTTCCTTTCACCGTTTACATTCACCTCATGTACCAAATCAACAGTAATATAAAAGGATCGGTACTAAAAAGAAAATAATGCAGAACAGAAGCGTTGATCAATAACAAACATCATGCCTGTCCAGGAGCACTGGCCTAACCAAGAGATGAGCTATTGAAAAGTATCATATTCTCCTAATAGTATCGGAATTTTCTTAATGAGGGAGGGATTTTGTCAGAAGAAGAATCCCTTCGGAAAATTGAATCAAAATCCCAGCCCAAAACAAATGAGGAAGTCACGGATTTCTTCTTTACAATTGCTACAGAATCATCAGCCAAAGAAAAAAATGGAGATGGGGGAACTTATCGTGCTAAACCACTGCAAGATGAGATCGGAGATAACTAAATAATCAACAGTTACAATTGAACGCAGGAACAGATGAACTCCACTCCGCACCAGTTCATTGATGTAAAAATCCTGCATATGGAGGCTGCAGTGAACAATCAATCACGAGGTACCGCTGAAGGAAATCTCCAAGCCTCTGCCACCAATTCCAGCAGTCAGGCATTGGAACCCATTTGTTTCCAAGTCTGCAATCACTTTATCAACTACTGTCCCTGATAATACTGAAGTTTCAAGTTAAGGAAGCTGCAGCAGGATAAAAATAGTAGAGATGAATATGGATTTCTTACACATTCAGCTCAAACAAAGCATAGTAGATGCATACTGAAGATCAGATTAACAGAAATGCAAATAGATATCAGATAAATAATAAAAGAGGATACAAGTTGGTAGGAGTGTCAAAACGCATCCTCCTCCACCAGCTCCAGTCAACTTAGACGCTAACTTGTATTTTAGGGTTGTTCGTAGCACCGTTTCTATGGAAGCATGGCTGACTCCCATACACTGAAGCAAACCCTGATTCATTTCCATTAACTCCTCTAGTTTCTCTTCTTTCTCAGTTATGGCAAGATCATCAGAAACTGGTGATTGAATAATCGCAGCAACTTCATTACTGATGGAATCAACAGCGTTAAATACGGCAGCCATAGCACTTTGATGCCTCGTTGTCCTTTCTGAAACACCAGCAACCAATGCTTTTGTGTTTCTCCCTACTTTCGTATTAGTTATCAACATCTTCAATGGCATATTTGTCTTTATCCTTGTCAATTCACCTGACTTGAATTTAATCATGTTACCTGTTGCACAAAGATCATCAACTTAGCTCCAAGTTAAACTATGACGGGAATTCTGGAATAAGTAGAATAAAGAAGCTATATCAATGTTATTCTTATGTTAAGAACCTGTAATAATTGAAGGCGGCTGATGATCAATCCATCATAAAAGTTTTGAAAAGGGAAAATATATCTCAAGTTAGACTATCCTAATGGCAGTCAGCTTTGTGAGCAATAGAATTACAGAAGTCTCTGGTTTGATCCATTCAATATTTACCAATAGAAAGAAATACCACTCTGCCATGTGAGAATATTTGTTTTCTCATACACACATTTCTACTCGTCAATCACTGAACATCATGTCTACTTGGAATCAGATCTTAATATCTCTCCCTCCCAGCCTTAGCTATAATCCTATCGCAATCTTATGTTCATCGGACATCTTTATCTCCCATTTTGTGGTAGCCACATTGTTTGCTAATAAGGGAAAAAGGTAAAAAAAATTTCTGCCAAATGCGAAAACAGCATCTAGTTATTGTGATACATACCGTATGTGCTAACTGTATTGTCAATTCCGGATGGCCTCCCATGTATAATTTTTTCGCCCTCATAGGCCCATTTGTTCACCAGATCAAGCTCACTCTCCCCAAACATTTGCCAACCCTGGTGGCTGAAATCAAGTTGTAAAGAATCTGACAAAGACAGTAGGGCAGCTGACAAAGCAACACAAAAGGCCGCAGATGAACCCAAGCCGGCTCCGAGTGGAAGCTCAGAAGTAACAGTTGCTTTTGCTGGTTTAAACCTAATGGGTAAAAAAGAAAAGGTAAGAAGCAAAGTTTTAAAGACATTGCAAAAGTAACAGAAATATGCTTTCGTGTTGCTGCTAGAAGGAAGATGTAAAACACACCCATGAATGGCGATGTAGAGCCAGAGAAATGCTGAAACACCAGAGGCGAGCCCTATTTTTGCCTCGGGAATGTTCTGTTCTTCAACTAGAGCTGCAATTGCTCTAGTGATCTCCAGTGAGCATGATGTTGGTGAGGAAGCACTAAGACTACCCAATTCAGGAATAGCTTCTTGGATTCTTCCTACTGGCCACGAAAACTCGAAATCCATATCCTTCAGATGGAGTTTTAGTGTATCATCATTATCTACTCCAAAAGGCAATATCAAATACATTAGAATGGGGAATAGTTTCATCAGAAAACAAGAGAATAACCAAGGATCCTATCTTAAAACCCAAGAAAAAGACTAGAAAATCGAAGCTGTGTTGTCTAAAATGGATGTCTACAAAAAGCAGAAGCATGTGCTTACTGAATTTAGACAGAGGGAAACATGGTTTCAAATAAATAACTGATCAGTTGTCTATCAGCTGAAAAGCATCAACATATTGACGTCAACCTGAATTATCTTCTATTTGAATTAAAGGAAGATCAGATCATAATGTGCATTAGGCAATTCCTTCAGTAAAATTTCAGTATAGCAACGAATTGAATGTTTACCCACAAAAAAGATAAAAGAAAAAAAAGAATAGACTCAGGTTAAAATGCTTATAGCTGTACTGAGGAAATGAAATATGAAAACTTCAGAAAGAATATTAATCAGATCCAACAACTACTTAACAGTTATCTTCTCCTTTTTGTTGCTGAACTTCTTCATTGGAAGCTGTACTAAGAAAGTATAGTCAGGAGGTCTCAACCCACAGTCTGATCACAGAGCATAACTGATATCTACATAATCAGCTCGGTATCTACTGTATAGTTCCACAGGAGTTTTAGCAACTGAACGAATATACACGGTCCTAGGTAAGCAAAAGGATTGGATTTAGTTAAAACTTTCATCACTACATTCCAGAATATGAAGTATAGGAACTTCTGTTAGCACATTTATCCTTTTTAAATTCCTAGTTCAGAAGACGAATTGCACGGAAAGCAAAGTGTAGATGTTTAGACTCATGTCATATCTGATGCAAATCAAATGAGTATTGTGCATAGACCAGCCCAGTATCGTCCCCGTAATATATTCCTTCACTTTAAAACCAGATTCCTAAAGAACTTAAAATCTAAAAGCTTTTAAATGACTTCACAGGTTTTCCAACAAGATCAATGTCTGAGCAATAACATCATAAGATATGTCATGACATTGAGTGAATGCCACATATGATGCTAACATCTCAACTTCAACCACCCCCAGCTGCCCTACTGTTATAACAACTTGAGGTATAATTTGACTTCACCGAAGATGACAGAATCTTACAGCGATAATAGAGAAAAACTAGCTCTCGTTCTTCCTAAGCTGCTTTTACAACAGGGAAAAAATCTATTCAATGAGAAACAATGCATAAGGCGTCCAAACAAAAGCAGCTTATACCAAGATCAAGTGTTATTGTAGAGCACGAACCAAATCCCACCATACTTCCAAATTTCTCCAGAACCCCTTTCGAGAAGCCCACTCAAGTTAAGCAAAAAAGCCGAAAAAGGAAAAAAAAAATCATCACCATGAACACAGAAATGATACAAAGAAAAACACAAAAGAAGATGCAAGAACAAGAAAGAAAAGAAAGAACAACGGGGCAGTACCAGAAGGGGTAGGGAAGCGAAGGGAGACATAAGTATAAAGATCTATGGCGGCGGCTATGGCTGTTGATCCATGAACCACAGCGTGCTCTCCGGCGAGTATGATCTTCCCCGGAGCTCGTGCCCTCACCTCCATTGTTCCTCTCTTCCAATTGGGTGTTTTTGATTCTGTAATTCCACGATTGATATTCACTGAAGAATCGCAATTGTTTTGCAAAATTTGAGTTGCGGTATGGCGGAGAAATTTATAGGAGAAAAGAAGAACACTCAGAAAAAAAAAGAAGTTGATTTTGATTCCTTTATGATTCCTGCTTTTTGTTTGGTACCTGTTTTTTTTTTCCTCTTTCCAATTTTTAATGTCACCTATTTAAGGCGCGCGCAAAAACAGGTATCTTTCCTTATTTTTCTAATTCATACACAATCAAGAAAATAAGTTTTGTTTTTCAAGGGGACAAAAATAAGAATAATTTTATTTCTTTTTAGAATATTCATAACCATGTTTGAATTCCAAACTTGCGATAACGATAAACAAAATTTAATTGACTATTGTTCAGACGATTCGAATTCGTGAACTTCACTTATATCATTTCGAAACAAAATTAGTTCTTTTCGAGTTTAATGAATAAACTTCCTAAAAAATTCATTATACTTTTGTTATTAAAGCACTTAAAAGCTATTAAGAATTGTATTTGAATATTTTAAGTTAAGGTAACATATTTGGAATGACTTACCAAAGGATGGAGGCCTAAAACTTTGACTTTACCAATTTGAAGTGGGTGTATTGTTTTTTGACAAATTACCATTATGAAGTCAAAGCAATTAGGCGAATTTGATATGACATGGTCCATTAGCCTCATTACATTGACTTTGTCTTCCTTTTCAGTCAAATTGGGTTGCCTATTGACCCGACCCAATATGGAATTAAAACAAAGTAGATTAATACAGTTTTTCCCCCCCTCCAGGCCTCCACCAGAAGAAATCACTTGTTGCGCTGTTGAGCCATCATCTGCAACGCTATTTGCAGAAATAGTGATTAGATTCTTGATTTCTCAACTGTCAGGGTAAAAAACGACCATCAAACCACAGTTTATCATCTAAGAAACCGAAAACAAGGATAAAACAGATTCTGCAGATGAAATGTTGTAGCTGCAGCTGATAACAAAGTTACTACAATTAATAATAACTATGCAGGGGGCGGGCAATATGGACTACATTTTTCCATCATGCATTGTCCAAGCACAGATTAAATACATTCAAGTTCAAGTGCAAACGGAGAACTTTTGATCTTGAGATAAATAGGAATAAAATCAAATCGAGCAAATCAAACTGTAGCAGACTCGAACTGCTCCTTAAGAGTGCTGAACATGGTGTCCACGACATCCAGTAACAGCCCATCTGAGCCCTTTTTCGCCATCAAAGAAATAGCAACGGGAAGATCTTCATAGACTCCCAAAGGTATGCTTACCTGTTCATTCAAGGATGTATGATAATCCAAAAAAAAAAAAGAGAGAGAAGTAGAAAATTTTAGACACTAAAGCATATTTGACGAGTCTACAAGGAAGAAAAAGAGGAGGCACCTGACAAAAGCCAGAAACTCCTGCAACAGACAACAAACTAAATGCTTTGGCACGGAATATTTCTAATGAGCTTGGCTCTGTTTGAAGTTTTGGAGGAGGTCCCGGTACAGTAGGCAGTGCAAGTATGCCATTATCCTACATTTTTACATAGTGTCTGACAGTTAAGACAGATCATAAGAAGCTTACAACGACCACAGTATAAGTGCTGATATCTACATTTTCTAGTATCACAGTAGAGCATTTATTCGAAAAGGTCATAAGACGGTAGAATTCTAAAAGGAAGATCCATAGTAAAAATCTCTGCCTTTCTAACTCACAGAAATTTGTTTCCACAATTCATACATAACACATTAAAAGCCAGACGATCTGTTCCTCGAATTCTCCATTCTATCTCATACATTACTGTCCGAAACATGTATGCAGCTTCTGAAGGTTGCAAGAGAAACTATTCAACACAATGAGAAAACGTAAAGAATCTGACATTCGATGTTAAAAACCAGTCTTGTAACACATAAATGGGCCCTCGTGCTTTCAAGATGAACAAACATATTAACCAGCAAGAGTTTATTTTCTCATATTGTTTTATGTTTCGTAGCTCGAAAGCATGATTTGAACCCTATCCCCTACGGACTACAAACGAATCATGACACATGCATCCATATGTAGCAACACAGACATACGCATTATAAGGGAGAGAAGTGAACCGGGGATGGAGAGAGCGAACCTCTAATAGAGCAGTGAGTGCAGCAGTTAATTCAGTCTTCACAATGTGGCAGGCATCTATATTTTCATCTGTTGATCTTACTGCCTCCCATACTCTTTCTGATAGGCCTGGACCCAATTTAGGATCAACTGCAGTAACCCATTCGCCATGATTTTTCTTGAATTCATACCTATGCTTGAAGAAAAAAATATTCTAGTATTACCAAAAACTTATTCGGACCACCATTGCAAGTGCAAAAAACGATCAAAGTTAAATCAGAGCAAATCTTTGAGCCCCTCGTATCAGTGATGATGACTTTGTATTCACCTTTGAAGTGACCGCATGGCACTTGAAAGGGCTGCCAAAGAAGGTATATTGTGTTGTAGGTCTCCACTATTCTGGCTCATAAAACTCTTCAAACTTGTAACATTCTCCTCCACATAGTCCCCCAAACTCACATGTTGTATGGCACGACCTGCACTTCTAACATTTGGTTCAAGTTGCTAACGTATACCTCGAAGTGAGTCTACAGTCATGTATATGCAGCTCAAATGTGTATGTAATATGTTCTATAATCATGTAGCTATGCAAGAGGGGCATCGACTGCAAATGATTAATATTGTCCGCATGCAGTAAATCTTGGCCATACAAAAACTAATACAAGTCTTACATTTGAAGATCCAGGTTAACTTATGTTCAAGTGATTCTTATGCTCAGGTTCAGTAACAAAAATTGTCTTTCATTACTCTGGCAGAAGTCCTTCAGACTTTTGGTTTCATAGGCAGTAGTAGTAGCGGGGCTATTGACAATACGCTTCATATGTGCTTATAAATAATCAAATTAAAGCAAAATCAGGCGGTGTTACTTACTTCCATACAAGCTCTCTGCTGACTTCATAATAATATCGATCAACCAGTGGCCTGTCACACTGAGAAGTTTGAAACAGTCCTCTGCAACTATGATCTTGCTGGGTGCCAAAGAACTTGCATCAGGCAGTCCAAGAAGAACTTTCCCAACTTTCTTAAAAATCATGGGGTCCCTAGCAAACCATCCTGAAACGAAGGGTGATAAAATTGGCCTGGAAGTCAGTATCACAAACTTACTGCCCTATTAGTACAAAACGAAAGAAATTTCATTTTCTATATCACAGCATCAGAGTTGGAAGGTGAAGTATGAAGGTGGGAATCAGGGAATTATATTTACAACTGCCTTGAGAACCCAAGTAAACAAAAGTGAGCCCACAAACTGTTATCCATTATTCATGATCTACAACCCTCAGTAATCGATGCATTAAGAAAAGGGCATCATTGTTCTCCGACCTTCAAATGATTAAAGGTAGTACTTATCGTCGCTACTACACAACAATTCTTACCAACATTCAGCAAATAGCCATTAAATGAGAAGTACAGGCAAGTGAAGTTGAATACATGCTACATAAAGGTCTGAAAGATTCTTCATTACTTGGTGTGGTTTTCCGGTTTTCAACCTACATAAAAGAGTCTTGTTGATCTATACATGGCGTGAAAGCAAAGGTTGACATCATTTTCCTCTTATTTCACAGCTGACTTTGAGGTTACAACCGATATTGTTATGGTGGTTAATGGATATGGAAGGCGACAAAGTTGCCCTCCTTTCGGATGAAGCATTCAGGCTTTACTGAGAAACGAAACATTTAAAGCCTTTCGCACCTCAATGTTACATCCTAGTTCATATACTGCTCACCTACGGTATCAAAACTCTGTGCCATTGGAGTGAGTCCTTCCGTAGAAATAATCCCATGCGAAGGTCGGAAACCCAAAATTCCACAATACGAAGCAGGGACTCTCACACTCCCTCCAGTATCAGTACCTGTAATTGATAGACCAGTGAACTAGCTGAAGAAATAGGTACATTATAGTTTTCTCTGACAGAAGCAAACTTACCCAAGGAAAAATCTACTATCCTTGCCCCAACTGCAACAGCAGAACCACTAGAGGATCCACCGGGAACCCGGTCCTTTGCACATGGATTCATGGGCGTTCCATAGTGCGCATTTTCACCATTTATACTGCCAAAATACAGACTTCTAGTTGATCGGCCATGGAACTTCACAAAATGCTTGATATTCTGTTAATATGTGGGGCAACACAAAGAACCAGGCATTTTGTTGATTGCAGAGAGTGAAATTTTAACATGCTGCTACAACATTTACGATTACCTGACCATGGACTAGGAAGAAGTACGGCATCACTCTATCTAGAGTTGGATAGATATTATTTTAATGTGATTTGACATTCAATTCCAAGAAAGACATCTTTTCTGATCTAAATGCCAACACTTTGAAGCAAGTTTTTACACGAGTCTTAAGAGACATAGAATAAATTGGCCAAACATTTGTTTGTCTCAAGAAGTAATAAAAAGTTGCTATTATCTTTAGCTTATTGGCTAGTCATCCAGCAGATTTAGTTGTTGACAGTGTTTATGCTTTTCTTCTGATATAGTTCAAAGAATTTCATGGAGATAACTCAGATATATGTATAAGTATTACTTCTTTCTAAATAGCATTTGATATGATATATGTGATTGCTGAGATAATACAGGCAGGAAAATTGTTTCCCAAGTGTCACTACATTGGTGATTAGCCTACATGAGCGAATTGGGGTGCAGCAGAAAAACAATCTTCAGACCGCTATCACTGCTTTTAAATTACTCTTACATTTAACATCCAGTTCCTAAGTAAACAATGATGGAAATCAGAAGGAAAAAGACTTAACAACTAAATCCTTACGGCAGAAAAATGATTTACCTGTAAGCCATTTCATCCATCACAGTTTTACCGACACAAGTGGCACCAGCTCCCAAAAGAGCCAAAACAGTTGGTGCAGTAGATGTTGCAGCAGAATGAGTCCGCGCCCAATCCGGGTTTCCGAAACCAGTCACGTATCCATCAATATCAAATCTGTCAATCAAACATAACCATAGTGATACAAATGCTTAAATGATATTCATTTCAAGAATTGAGCAGGGGTACGTATATTGTGAAATCCATATATTGCTTAAACACAAGAAATCCAGCAAATTGAGTAAGTTATCACAATCAACTGACCAATAAAAGAACTAATTTTTGGTAAAAAGTCTACTGAACCTGATAAATTGAACCTTCGAATCAACACAAACACAATTCCCGTGGAAACTTCCCAGAAAACTAATCGTTTGGAACAAATTCAACATGAGAAGGGACAGAAATAATGCAAAAACATACATACTTCAATTTGCACAGAACATAACATAAGAAACGGCCAACAATTCAAGCACTAATATGGATTGAAGGGACGTGGGGGTGAAGAACACTTGCATGTCTTTGACGGCAAAAGTCAACCCAGATAAGGGAAGTTCTTGAGAAGAAGACTGTGGCTCAAGTATGAACTTCTCCATGAAGGCTCCATATTCAGTTTCGTCGGCCATTCCCAGAATTTTCTCACCTTAAACACACAGTCACACACTGGGGAATGGGAAGTGAGAACTTCGGTCTTTGGGGCTGACTTTTATTTCTATTTTTCATTCGAAGATTAGAGATTTTATCCCGTTGCAAGATGAAGGGGATAAGGATACATTATGTCAGCCAAAGTCATTTTCTTGATCTGTACGGACTCGTTAGTTTGGACAGTTTTTTTTTTTTTTCCTTCTCCATTTTCGTTTTTTAGCGATTAAATATCCAAATTAGCTTTACAGTTTTATTCAAGAAACAATAACTGGAGCACTAGAACAATATCAGACCATGAGACAGGTGACTAACTTAACAAAGTGTATACTTTTATGGGAAGATTGGTTGGTTTATGAGTAAGAAGAAGTCATGGAAACATTGAAAGGACAAAATTCTAATAACCATGATCCAAGTCCTCATCAAGGAAGCACAAGTTTGGAACTACAGCTGAATGTACAAGAGGTTCTTCTTCCTGGTGTTCTGTTATACCCGGAACTTTCCAACCCAAATGCTTAATATAAGCTTTATCATACGCATCCACATTTAGTCCTGAAGCAAGAAACATTTCCAACTCATTCACAAACTGCTCTGTTCTTGTTGTTAAGAAAGGTCTGGCTGCTTCAGAAACTACGAGCTTAAAGTTTTGCTGCGCTGCCTCGAATGTAGATTTTGGAGATTTTGGCGCATGCCTGTGAGAGGCAAAACTCGTAAACAAAAATGACATTGGTAGAGGGAAAAATTTCAAAGCTTCATTCACAAAACGAACAAAGGACATCTACGATAAGCTTGGCGGCACATATATATGTTAGATGTAATCTTTATTAATTCAAACCACCTGTATTCAAACCAGATTACCTTACAAACGAGTCAATCACGCCAAGTATATGATGAACAATGATTTCTACGTCTTCCTCCTACAATGTAGAAGGGGAGAAGTCCATAAGTTACAAACATTAGAGATTGAAAACAGAAGAATCCTATAAACAAGTCCATACTTAACCTAGAGTCTACTAGTCATTCTTGCACCATCAGAAAATTTTTCCTATATGGTGAGCCTAACTTTGATACAATAAGAAATGAAACTTTGGCAGTTCTGTGAAAACTAAAAAGCCGTATGGTTTTCATCACTACAAATTAAAAACACGGGTAAAAATTGAAAATCAAAGATATGCAGAACTGTATTCAAAGTTGACTGAATAGCTGAACGTATGAAGGGTGCACACTGCAAAAGTCTTTGCTAGGATTCAAGCCAGGCCCAAACACACAGTGCAATCAGCAAACATGTTCTAATGAAAACTGATTTGACATGCCAAACAAAGATAGTCTGGAATGAAATTGAATCATGGTTGGATCATTAAGCCACCAGCACAATTTCCCCAAAGGAATCAACTTTGTTGTTCTTTAACTCAAACTAACTGTTCGTAAGCTAAAATCACAGGCTAAGTTACAAGCAATGGGCACAGAGAAAATTTTACCTGAGTTAAAGCTTGAATTTCCCTTCTTATCCACTGGTCACTCCACTTACTTGCTTGAAGATACTTTTGCAACTTCCAGTAACGCAGTACATTGAAGGTATCAACTAATGTGCCTAGTTATCTCGCATTGAATGGGAAATTGAGGGGAAAAGAGAGAGATAGGACGAGACAGAGAAAGCCTAGTTAAAACATGATTTAGTCAAGCATTAACATCAAATTCCAAAACAATTTCAGGATACCTGTTTCACAATAGTAGGCCTGTAACCTGTACTTGTGAGCTTTTGTGAAGAATTCCCTACACGGACAAGCACACATACACATAAGAATTGGTTAAACCTGATGGAAATATAATATCATTTGCATCACTCCAAATCATGAACAACCACCATGATACCTAATTTTGGGATCCTGATTGGCAAAATGCCGATGGAAGGAAACTCCATCATGTCCATGCAAAATAGAATAGTTCACTGTCTGCATATTAGGAAGTTTGGTTTTAGTAACACTTGATACAGCAGAATACAATATCATATCCATGATTTTCTCATGTTCATGAATTGATGGCATGTTTTCTAAATTTGAAATAAACCTTGCACAAAAGCATGCATCACAAGTTGTCAATGTGAAATAGAAGATCTTCAATCGGAGAAGTAATCATATTTTTCCCGGAAGCTAGGAATAAAAATCTTATAGACACATTAGAGCAGCAGACCTTACACATGGGACATTTTAACGATGTAGTCATAACGCCGTGTTTGGACGCCACCACTTTCATCCATTGCAAGATGCATTTATAGCAGAACTTATCTGTAAATAAAGCAATAGCCCAAACAATGAGAAATTGACAAAATGTTACCCACCCATAGAAAAAGATGATCAGCCTGTCTCCACAAAGTGCAGAATCCGAACTTCTCAGATTCAAATTTCGAAGGGCAGATTCAGATTTCAAAGGTAATTATAAATTTTCAGCAAATTGAGTTTCAGCTTGGGCTCAAGTTACCCAAACTTGGAAGCCTTGTTAAAAAAAAAAATAAAAAATAAAAAAATTCAAGAATCCGATAAAAATCAAGCAACTTACAACACTACAAAGCTTTCTGAAAATCTTAGAATAAACTTTGGCGTCATAATCCTAAAACTATAAACAAGCAAATTTGAAGAGCAGCAGTAAACTAGCTCAGACAATTGGAAGAGCTTTCTAGAAATAATATAACAACTGATCATTGAAGAGTACCACACCAGAACATTAATTTTTCCAGTATTGATCATAGAAAGTTCTTCGACCAATCTCTGCAACATTCAAAAACGTAAAAACTAGAGAAGAAGACAAAGCTGATGAATAATATAAGACTAAAGAGAGCAAGTGAAAACATCATACGGAAACATTTGTCGAGATAAGATTCGTCGGTCACCGGACCGAGACAGATTGGACACGGGTTGAGTTTCGGGTCGGAAGATGAACAACAACCCACTTCGATTTCGCGCTCCATATTGCCAGGATAGAGAGAGAGAGAGAGAAAAAAAAAAGATTCAGAGGGGGGAGAGACAGAGAAATTAGGGGGAAAACAGAATCTGAATTATCAAATAAAAAAATTGTTGTGCATAAATAATTAGGAATGATAAGGATAATATATTTTCGCCTAATTTCCATTTACTACTTGTTATTGAGCCTTAAAATCTAAAAAAAAAAAGAAAAAAGCAACACTTTGTCGCCCAACTAGTGTTTGCGGAAATGCCCGTTTGAAATTCTGGAATCATGGTGGTCAAACTTTGATGAGTCGAAATGGATTGGTCAGCCTGAAGACGATAGTGCTACACTGTTACATTGGAACTGTCTGCATTATAATCAGGTTCTGGAGGCTTCTGATGCAGCAGAGGAGGAGTTTGAAGTTGTGCACGTAATGCGGTTGCAGAAAACTTGGATGCACAAATTGTGGCAGCAGCAGAAGCAGAGCTGGTTGAATTTGGTCCTCCTCCTTCCATGCCAACCTGAAGACTCTCTTCTCTTCGTCGCAACGACTTCTCAAGTTCCTTCCTGCAATGATTGCACCAGGCGGCCTGTATTAAGCTTGCAGCCCATCTTCTCCATTCGTGGGAGTAGAACCTGCTTGCATTTATTTTAGGAACTCATCATGATAAGCCAGCATTTTTTTTTCTTTTCATCTTCAGGTGAAAAGAAAGTAGTTTTGATTGAGTATATCATGGAATTGTTTTGGTCATTTTTAGTGGAATGTTGAAAACCATTTTTCGTCTCGTATCATTAGTCGTGTTTATAAATTTTCATTCCCTAGCGAAAACGGAGTTTTTTAATTTTCTCATTTTTACGCTTGACAAACATGACAGTAAAACTCTACCTGAAGATGTGCTGAATCTGCTCCCTGTGGAGTTGTCTGAACTGAGAGGTTACAAACCGGAGATCATCAGCTCTTAAAGCAAAAGCTTCCACATTTTTCATCGCTTTGATTGTTCTTGTTGAGATGGGAAGGCTGGAGCTTGATGCAGGATCCAAAGCCCAAGGAATAAGCTCCTCCCCGCACAGATCACCTAACTCGAGTTCAGCAGCAAAGCCATTTCTTTTACCATGGTTGGTCATGCTCAAAAGATTGCCATGTGTAAGAAGGAGCAATTCATCGATCTGATCACCCTCGCAATATATGAAGTCGTTCGCAGAGTAGAAAACTGGTTTAAGACGCTCACACACAACATCCTTCAACTGATCGTCCATTTGGGAAAACATTGGCACCTACGATGAAAGCCATTCAGGAACAGAAAAGAACAGACAAAAGCTATAGAAAAGGAAGATTAGAGCGAAACATGTAAAAGAGAGACGAACTTTAGCCAGTAAATCCCAACAGTGGTGACGGTTTATATCCCTCTTCAAATCCTTCGGAAGATTCTTAACCAGGGCAACTTCTTGAACACGTCCAGCATCTAGCCTTTCGAATTTTTCATATCTTCTAATCCGATGCCTTAGGTTCTCAGGCAGCTCGGACATCCACTGATCTATCTTTTTCTTGTCTCTCTTTTTCGCTCGTCTTTCTTTCATTCTTGCACCAAGAGATTGAACAGATGTCTGTTGCAGCAGAGGTTTAACAGATTGAGCACCTGAGCTCGTGGTGAAGGAAATGACAAGTTGATACGATATGAAGTATACGGCGAAGAGTCAAGATAGCAGTAAAACTAGATACTGAACACTGAGTTGAACATAAGCATATTTTCTATTACTTTAGGTTTCTCATCTGATGAAGCTTCATGGTTTTGAGAAGATACACACGGATGCAATTTGTTGAAGGGATATGAACTTAAACTTCTGTTTGAGTACCTAGGTTTTACCTGGATGTGGAAAATAAGCAATCCGAACAAGACCAAGCCAAAGGTTAAAATGTCGATGGCAACGAAATTCTCCAAATAATAAGTGCTTGTCTTCAGATTTTGTCCCAAGGAACTGGAAAGAAATGAAAGGAAATCAAAATGAAAAACCTCTATAAATACCCCAAACAAACCACATTAATCTTTTCAATAATTCGCAGAAAGATGCTCCGTTAATTGAGTCATTCAGATGTCAGGGGAATGCAACAAGCGCCGGGAATCAGTCTAGTTGTACTCCCTCCCTGCCAAAGTGATTGTTTGTTTGTTGTACAGAGGGAGTATTAATTTGTTTGGACTGCATTCTCAAGTACTACTTTGACAGAGGTTTTCTTCATTTCACTTATTAAATGCTCAGGTTTTGGTTTCTAGCCTTGTGATGCAATGTTGTCTTGTTGAGCTATCTAAGATGTCCAAAGAAACATATATAAGCTATTGATAAGCTAAGCTCTTCTAGTGAGCTTCTTCTCCTAAGTATGCAACAGTTATCAAGTCCAGCCATGAGAGAAGCCTTATGGATATCTTTCAATAAATGTTAAGCAAGAAAAGCCTGGCACTATCAATACAGAAAACATACAAAAGAAAGCAAGAGAGAATCTTCAGAAAAAAATCTTCATCAAGTACAAGGGGCAAACCTTAAACTCCGCAAACCCCACCAATAGCAGTAAACGAACTTCTGCCAAAAGTTTTCCTTTTCTACAACCCTAGATTGAAGAGCTTCAAGGAAAATGCCAAAATCAAAATCCGTTGGCCGTTTTATCTCATTGGGTTCAAGGAGAGGGCAAGAGGAATTTAGAAAAGAATAGTCTCCTACACGTGGTACTCCGCAGTTCAGAGCATTAGGATTGCAATGATGTTTAGCGCAAGATGCACGCCAGCATTCATTAACACGCTTTATCGACAAGATGTACCACCAAGCTCCAAATAACTGACATAATATATTGCAGTCAGCACTAGCCAGGACAAAATAATCAAAGAAATACCTTGACATACCAGAAAAATTATCCAAAAAAAAAAACACAAAGGAAATCAAGAAAGACAATAATAGTTGGCACAAAAATCTTCTGAACTATGATCAAAAGTAGCATAAAGAGTCAAGCATAGGGTTTTCGAAAGCTCAGGGATCACATATTGATATGAATTGCCCAGAATGATGCATCATAAACGGTAACATGCACCATAAACGGTAACATGCACATCATTTGAAGCCTAAGGGATGCTCAATGTTGTTGATAACTGACTACAAGTGTTAGCAGAACAAGGCTCTGATATGCGTCTCTTCTTACTTGCAATCCATGATCAAGCCAAATAGAATACTGAAGAATCATGCCTAAAGCACAAAATCTGGCTACTAATATTCATGAGAGTGATCAAAGTCTGTAAAAAACGTACATTAGTTGCTAGCATGCAGAGAAAAACACAGAGAGCCGCGCCAATCAATGAAGTTGCAGCGGATATCCTAGAAGCTCTTGTTACTTCCCTCATTTCCATGTACATTAGACATATCTTAAAAAATTTTATGTCAAACTGTGCAATCATAGCATTCATCAACTGGTTCCTCGTGATCAAAGAAGTAGGGACATTTAGTCTTGGGGCTATAATAAAGATTACCACCTGCAAAAACCAGATTTCCGTAGAGTGAAATTACTGTCCAAACTGTGTGATCAGAACTCAGAATACTCCAAGTATCCGACATGAACAGGACGGATACATATACATATACCTACCTGAGGGACAGGAAGTGCTGATAAGATATCTAACATGAAGGAAGCAACCAAGTATAGTTTAGAAGATGATGCAGCAATAGTATATCCAATGTGAAACTTCCAGAATATGTGAAACATGTAGACTAAGTCTACAAATGAACGAAGAACGCAGATCACAATCATCAACTTTTTGTCCAAATCAATACATTTCCTGTTGTTATCAATGACATGGATGTAAGAGAAAAGAGGATCTAGGAACAATGCTATCACGAAAGAGACTGCGAAAATCTTATTCCACAGCTGATAAAATCGACGCTGAGGATCAATAACTTCTTCCTTGATTCTTCCCAAAACTGAGCCTGACTCATTATTTAAAGTTGAGGGACCCATGAATCTTTTTATCCTAAACCCCCTCCTGAAACTGAAAGTATCACTCATGCTTGGAATACGTCTGGTTGCGTATGGTAATCTATTGGTTGAATTTCGTCGATTCTCCATGTCCGAAAATCTGCTTCCACGCCAGTCTTGAGACCTGAGTGGCAAAAGGAAAGAAACAAAGTTTAAACAACAAGAATTAAGACTAAAATCAAGCTTATATAAATCAGAATGCTTGGTATATTATGTACATTTTTTTTTTCTTTCTTTAAATGGAGGAGAAATGTAATGTCGTGACTGAATGGTTCAGTCAAATTCAATAGTCCTTGAATCATTGACTGTATCATTCCGCCGATGGCACAACTGATTGGAAAGTAAAAATACCCTCCATCAAGTAGTCAGCTAAACTGCTGAAGTATACAACAAGAAGAGACTCATTATCAGAAAAATGGGAAAAGGGAAGGGAGAAAAGCTCACCTCATTTCTCTTTTTAAGATCAATTCTAACACCAAAAAAATTGGAGAACATACCTTAAAAAGGAACGGAAAATAGAGCTATTTCCCATTCAGTTCTTTTTCTTCTTCTTCCTCACAAGTATTGAGGAATTTCCTTGTAATAATATTAGATGGGAAAATTTCTGCTTGTTCTCCATCTGAATTATTAGTATGAAATTTCCTAGCAATTAATGCCTGTGGGAAAGGCTCCATTGCTCCAAATAAGTTAACTCTGGGAGACACTATTGTTACAAGTCAAAGCCAAAGCCCTACTAGCAGTTACTACATACTTGCATTGCTTTCAGCAACTCTTTCAAGGAATCTCCAAATTTCTTTACCAAGGAAACTGCCAAAAAAATAAATACTACGTGTACAAGAAAAAACTTGACTCAACTGCCTGTTAAAGCCATCATTTTTTTTTCACAATTAATTAGGTCCACATTTTTGCAACATTAACAACTTAAGAAAGTGACCATGTAAAAAGGAGAAGGCCGTCCAGCTAAAGTTATGACTTTAATGATAATTCGTTAATTTGTATAGAGAACAGGCATTTTAAGAAGTGCTCATGTCTTCAAAAAAAAATACTTCCTTCGTTCCAAAATAAGTGTCGTTTTAGCAAAATGAAAAAATTTCAAATAAGTGTCGTTCTCACATTTCAATGCATTTTTTGTCCAAAGTTTCTAAAATTACCCTCAAAAGAATTAATACTATTGGTGGACATTGTTTTAATGGGGTTAGTGGAGGATATTCAAGTAATTTTATTACCCTAATTAATAGTTTCTTAAACTATGTGCAAAGTGTAGGATGACACTTATTTTGGAATGAAAGGAGTACATCTTAATTTTATGAATACTTGGTTCATACTCGGAAATCTTATATTTCACATATCTCTTGTTGAGAAAAAAATAAATGGTAAAAATATATTGTCTCAAATTGTGACATTATTATATGATCAAAAACTCGTACTCTATTTGTCTTAAAATTATTATTCACGTTTTAGATACTTCAGTTTTAGTTGAAATTCTTGTCCTGTTTAAATTTTTACTTTTGGTTCAATTAATTTTGGTACACGGAGTACTATTTAGTGGTTGATGATATGATCGAATAGTTGATTTTGCATCACTAAATCAATTTCATTCAAGTTACCGCGTAGAAAAGTCGGTACAATTTAGAAATTATTTTATACTCCTAGTTATAATTTGTTTTAAATTCAAACCATTTATTTTGTTTTGTTTTTTTTTGGGTGCTAACTATGCACAATCAATTTGAGACAATGGGTAAAATTAGACTTTCTTTCCAGCCCAACCACATTAAATGTGTGTGTGTGTGTGTCTAATATTGTAGTACTATAATTTTCTTCTATAATTGATAAGAAACAGAAATCGAACAAATCTTTTTCCCTCTAATTTAAATAATTATTTAAGGCTATAAATGCAAACACCACTTTTGGGGACCCCGTTGGTCCATTCTGAATGAAGTTATTTTGAGTTCTACTGGCGCATTTAGACCTCAAAAATTCAAACCCACGCCAACGGTCTTTTTAGCTTGAAACTGGAGAAAAATTTCTGTGGATCCTAAATTCACACTACTCTATTGGGAGTTTGAAGCATCTCTCAAACTCTCAGTTCCGTTTGAAATCACAATTTTCTGGAACGAATTTCGCCCAAATAGTGTTTGTTCAAATGCCCATTTCAATTTTGAATCCTGGTGGTGATACCTTGCTTAGTCGGCATGAATTGGTCTCCCTTCCTTACTGCCATTTTCGTTCCTTCTACCAACAAACCCAGATCCGGAAAAAATTCATGGTTTGTGCTAAAAACAAGAGAAGACAACATGGGTCGGCGACAAGATCACGAAAGTTGGTCGAATCCGCGTTTTACATTGCCTCAAAGCTCCAGATTCTTCCAGCGCCGGTGGATTTTTTCATCCAAGAATTCGGCATTGGAGGAGGAGGAGGTGGTGGAAATCGAGGTGGGTTTTCTGGATTCCGGAAAGGGTTCGGTTGGGGAGGCTTTGATGGTTGGTGGAGGTCGAGGCGGAGCAAGAGGAAACTCAATTTTTTGGCCGTTCTGTTAGTTTCTGGGATTGGGTTGTGGTTCGTTTTGGGTAAAAGATTGAACGCCGGCGATGCTTTCTTGGGGGGATTTGGTGGTTTGGTGTTGTTGGGACTTTCAATCCATGGATGGCGAAGAGGGGTAAAAGACTGGATTGTTGGATTTTGTTGCTGTGCTTTTCTGGTGAGCCTGGTTATGCAGAAGGAAGATTTTCAGAAATTAATGGAGGATTCATCCACCGTTTTGAAGAAGAAACTGAAAGCTCATGGATTGGCCACCAGTTTTGGAGCTACGGCGAACGGCCGGAGAAGAAAATGGTGATACGATTCTCATAATCAGATTTGGAATCCTTTCCTTATGAATGAAAAACCTTTCATAAATATCAAATATTTCCTTAGTAAAAACTGCTCATTTAGTTTAGGAAAAAGAAAAAGGGGAAAACAAAACCCTATATCCTTCGGAAACCAGCAGCATAGCGTTCTTTTTTTTTCACCCAACTTTTCTGTATTCCTCCATTTGTTCATCATGGATCCAGAGTCATCTAGCCGTAAGTAAGAAGAACAATTGGTTCTTGATTATTTTTTTTGTCCTCCTTTATCTTATTTATTCATCCATACATAATTTTTCACTTGTTGGTAGTGCAGTAGTGAAATCAGTGAATTCTCTCCAATCACTCTTGGACAAGAATTTCGTTCTTATGCTACAGATTGGTTTTTTTATTTTTTCTTTGGCAGAGAAAATTGGTGGCTGATTTTGGCACTCCCTAATAAACCTACCACCAATTTTGTCTTTTTAAGGGGTGGGAGAGATTTTTAAACTTGTTATTCCGCTTCTGTTTGTGTTAAAGAGTTGCTTTTTGTGGGGAAGAAGAAAAATTTGTTCCGATCATTATAGCTGTTCAGCCTGTTTCAGAGAGACAGCTCAAGCTACATCCTGTATACAGGCCTTCTTGATGGGAAAAACTTTACTCCCGGTATTCACTACTTATCTGATTTCTCTTTGGTACTAAATTTGCTAAAGAATGTCTTTGCATTGTTTATATCTTTGAATTCAATTAATGCAGTATACTGTTGTACAAGTGGACACCTCTTGCTGCAAAGAATGTCCCAGAGCGCTGCATGATGCACTGCTAAAATTGGGTACTTCGATTGTAAACCTAACTTTTTGTGAGCGAGATATCTTTTTCCGTAATTAATGAGAGCAATACTTTTATTTGTGTTGAATCATTTATGTTTATGATACACCCTGGTTTTACTTTTTTAGGTGTTGAGGAGGTGGAATTTTCTCAAGGAAATGAGGAAGTATGTATTAGCGGTACCGTAGACCCCTTTATAATAGTTAAGGAAATTGCCAAGATGAATAAACCTGCAGAGCTCGTCTTCTATGCTAAATATCCCATGCCTGAAGATCGTACCAGGAATGCTAAGGGTCCAGAAGAAAAGAGTCACCCTAGAGATGAGCATAAGCAGAACACTAGAGACAAATGTAAGGAAAAATGCCATTGCAGTCCACAAGATCGTGATACCAGGGATACGGAAGATGGTCGTTTCAAGGGTGATAATGGTTATCGTCGAAGAGGAAATTGTAAAAATTGTCCTGATCATCACGATTCGGATGATGAGACCAGCGATCATTATCGTACCCGAAATGTTAGAGAAAAAGATCAGAGAAGATTCTCTCGTTGTCACAATTATGCTAGAGGGAGTAATAATGGTCCAAAAAAACATTCTCAGAGTCGTAATTATGATCGCCGTGATGAATCCAGTGAAGACGAGAAGACACCAAAACCGTTCTTTGATCCAGATGCCGATATGTTCAAGGGTTTCAGGGATAGGCAAAGGAGTGGATCTTGTGATCAGAACGACATGCCTTCAATGGACGGGAACCATTTTCGGTCAAGGAGTGGCATGTATGAGCATTTTCCCAATTTTGGTATGACACCTCCATACCCGTTTGATCCAACAATAGGACCTGAGCCGTTTGTTCCAAGAATGCCTCCACACCAGCAATATGGTCCAACTATGCCTCATTCATATGAGCAGGAATATGATCCTAGTATGAGACCTCCATGGCCTCCTCGGGCATCTCCTTATTATTCTGACTTCTATCCAGGAAATTCCAATTCTTGCTCGATAATGTAAACCTCACAAGTACATGCAAGCATTCATCTTGTACCTAAGATAGTTTTCTTGCATAGCTTGCATGTGTTACTTTGTGTATGTTACACATTTTTCTAGTCAGAGGTGCAAGTTTTTGTTTCTCTTTTGTTCAATTGGAAGACCTTTGCAAATCAGTGACGATAAATAGGAGTATTTGTTTACGACTTTGACAAAATTGATAATGTGCCCAGTGCAAGTAATATAGCAAACTGTTATTCCTTGTGCAAGTCATATAGTTGAGATATGAATGTGTTTCCTAACGTAGTTCGAGGTCAAAGTTAAGGGCATTTCTTGAAAAATATTACATTGTTGAAGTAACAGCAATTTTTCTTTCCATCTGAAAGTAAGATTTCATTGATGGTCTGGTAAATGTGCATGAGCCCTGGTGGAGTTTTGCTCAGTAAAATACTTGTGACATATCACTCTCAGAGAAGAAAAGTTTCTCTTACAGCCACACCATGAAACCATCGGCCGTACTTTTAGTACAAGAATTGTACACAGAAGTTTGGACAGAGAACTTAGCCTTCCATAATGCGCCTCAGCCAAAGAGGTAAACCTTAGCTATGCTAAACCGAGGTAAAACTATTTCAAAGTTGTAACACAAAGAATGACTAAGTTACACGTTATGATCCGTAACAAATGCCTAGAGTACATACATGTCCAGTGATGGACTTCAATAAATGCGCGCATGGTAGCAAACTATGATGATCACTCGACATCATGGTGTTTACCAGACAAGAGAAACTAATGTACAACATAGAACAACATCAATAAATTAGACCTAACTAAATAATCATGAAGGGATTCACTCAACCCTTCAGCCAATCATCCTTTTCTTAACAAGAGCCTCAAAAACACCATCAGTTCCAAAAACACCTTTAACTGGTTGCTTATGATCAATTGGCACGGGCAGACGGAATGAAATGGAAAATTCCCCAGGAGGACTTAGATTTTGTGTTTGCATCCGAAACACCATGGAGTCCTTGCAAACTGTTTCCCCGCCAGTAGCTGTCTTGCCCTTTATTGTTATTGCCCCACTAGGTTGAACATCACACGTAAAAACACCTGCCATAACACTTATAAGCATTCTTCAATCATCACCAGAAAGTGGAAATATTCAGTCTAAATGACCAAACTGAATACCAGAAAATGTTCCATTTTAATCAAGACACAATATAATAGAAATCATCAAAAGCATGTCATAGTACAATGAAAAGCAGGAAAGGACATGTCTCTTCAAAGCTCAAATAATAAACTAGAACCCTCACAGTAGTAAATCTAAGATATTGGGATTTAACCAACCCTTCAAAGATAAATAAATACAAGCTACATGCTTTTGAAGTTTTGTGGGGTCAGCTACATGGACCGTTTTAGCTGTCGGGATATGTAAATTTTTTTAATAAAACTGTATTATCGAATCGCCGGATAGTGTCCCTAGTCCTTTTTATTTGATATTCCAAATGTTTGGAAACTCATACGAGGACTTCTGATATAACAACTTTTAGGGTCTTTAAAGAGAAAGTAATTATTCGATGAATATATTTTATTTAATAAATGAAACTTACTTGCATCTCTAACAACACCAGGAAGTGCAACACGAAATATAATTTCATCCTCAGATTCAAAAATGTCTATCGACCCGATGGCTGGCCCAGGCTTTCCTTTTGCTGCACTACCAGTTAATGCGACTCCGCTTTTGGTTACAGCCATGATGTTATTCCACTCCTCGGTTGTTGGAGGAGAAGTAAAAAATACCGTGGCAGGAAGTTCTGTGACGGAGGTTCCAGAATTGTTTCCTGTTGATGATGCAGAAGCATTTGTTTCTTTTGTTGAAGCAGCGGCACTAAATGGATGAGGTGGTGGCACAACATTAAGAGGGGTCACATCAAGAACAGTTTGTTGAGGATCAACCGGAATAGAGCCGTTGTTTCCACCAACATGAGCCCAATATGGATAAGCTCTGGATTCGTGAAAAGAAACGTTAACATCCACGATGATTGAGAGAAGTCTAACAGTAAAGAAGCATTTGTGTTCCAACATAAAGACTTTTAAGCCCAACACAAGCAGTCAAAGATGCAGATTTCCTTATTCCAAAACAAGTTGATTAACTGAAGAAACTTAAGAGCAGAGAAATACAACGTCATCGTTTTACATCTAATAACAAAACAACAGAGATGCAAAGACTATGTAACTCAATGCCATAAAAAGTTTATGCAAGAGTTAGTCAGAAAACATCACATTAAAACTAATCTTTCGTACAAAGATTAATACAGCAGATAGATAGAACTGTCTCACAAACATCCAGGATTTTCATCTGCCTCCAAGGTGAACAAAGAGCTAAACATCAACTATCCATATTATCACAAATTACATACAGAATTGATCATAATTCTTGTAACGACATGATAATTTCTAGTTGCAAATGATGACTGTTAGTTACTATATGCATAAAAAAAATATATTACCACACTCAAAATAGTTTCTATCCCAAAAAAATTACCCTGGTCTTGGAAGTAAGAGTCATTGCTTGGGAAGAAGGCTTGTAGAGTACTGAAAGGATGCAGCAAAAGGGTTGTGATGTTAAAGAAACACATATATTGGTGGAACATTGACGTGCCCATGATCAGAATGAACTTTAGTCAAAGATACTTCACACAAAGCTTCCACTGAAATGCTCTATCCAACTCTCATATGGGCTTGTAAAAAAAAAAAGGAACAAAAAAAAAAAAAAAAAAACTCTCATATGGGCAATTTTTCAAAAGCTAATATCAGTTTACTGAGTGGTCTACATACAAGTCCGTACTTTTAGCAGAATATAATAGTCTCACTTTCTTCCATCACAGTCAAACCATTGCCAATAGCAATGCAGTGTGCAACATAATAATAGATTACAACTTCTGAGCCCAGGATCATTACAGCATTTTGTTTTAATTTGACTGATATAAAACCCTAGATTTGTAATCTTTATAGCCAAAGTGAGTAAAACTAAATAAATAAATAACAAATCAAGTTTTCATACAAACAAGAAATGCAACACATTGACCAAAATCAGGTTAACTCCATATAGTTCCATAGAATGCAGCATGTCTTCAAACAACTTCACAGCTCAAAGAATCATACAAGCTGAGAAGTTTATGATTTGTTTTAATGGAAATTCACGGACCTGAAAATCATCTAAGGAGCCTCAGACACACAATGAAGAGACAAATAAACAAGACGCAAACAATTGCGCCTGAAGTTCTAAACTTGATCTTAGTCATGCACAGATTGGTCTACTAGATGCACTTATTCATCAAGAGAAATTCTAGTTTAGCAAATATATCAGACAGATCCTATTCCTTGTCAATTCCCAGATTTGAAGACAATTGGAAGCGCTCAAACAGGCCACACAAATGAGTTCAAGGGCATCCACAATATAATATCAGAGTTAGCCAAAAAGTTCACTAATTTGAAGATATTTCTAGAATGACATAGATTAGAATAGCAACGAACAAGCCCCATGTAGACACCAGTGAGTACCCCGTTGAATCCTATACCATAACATAAACATTCAGTAGGGGATGGTAAAAGGTTGTAGAGAATGCTTCAGTAACAAGCCCTACATTGACTAAAATCACAACAAAGACGTAATCTTGCCGAGAAGCGACAATGACTTCTCACACTTCAAACAGAAAAAAGAACTCTTCAAAGACAAACCCGAAAACATACAGGACACCACATTTGCCTTACCCACTAGACAAGAATTGACTCCAGAAAATATGCCAATTGTCACTTGAATTCAGAAATCTGAATAAAATAAAAAATTTCACCCAAACAACCATCTCAAAACCTCCACACCCACATTCAATTCGAAAGAGAAATAAAAATTAACACACTTTATGAAAGTCCCATAAACCTAAAAACAACTACAAAAGACGAACATAATCATCACAAATTGCGAAACAACATCAATAAAAAAAAAATTATAGGGCAGATCAAACATCATTAGCTCAAGCAGATGTTTTCCCGGAAACAGAGTTGAAAAAAAAAGAAAAAAAAAAAGAAACAGGCAGAAAAAAGAGTGAGAACAAGATTGAAGTACCTGCCCTGAGAAGCCATACACGAGTAATGAGAGAACTGGGAGATTATTACAGGAAAAGGGGTTTTCAGTAAAAGGGAAGAGTAGAACGAGAGAGAAGAATATAGGGAAAGAGGGTTTGTACGGCAGCAGAACTGCTGACGAGCTTGGGCACGTAGTACTATAAAATATGCAGAGATAGAACGCCTAATCAGAGAAAGAAACGGTAACACAATGTAGATGGAAATTATGTGAAATATTTTAAGAGGGTTTTGTTGAATTTTTTCATATTCATGAAAAATATAAATCATCATCAACGGGAAAACTAGAATATTAAAAAACTGGGAGGCTACTAAACACTCTAAAAATTTTCCTTGAGCGCCCTAATATAATATCAAAAGGTCATTTTGCCCCCACATGATTTTATAAATTAAGAGTTTCAATTTCATTCTTTCAATTTCTAAATCAATCTTTCATTTCAAATTCTCTCAATCCAAACTCCCAAAAACTTAGATTCAATGGCTGAACGAGTGAAACGGTTACGGAAAGAGCTACGGAAACTGAAGATACGTAAATTTGAATTGTTTTTTTCAATTAGAATTATGTAGGAGTATTTTTTTTTTTAAACAAAAACCACCTCAGCCCCGCCCCGCGAGGGAGATCCGCGCTGGGGCGTGCAGAGCTGGCGCGCAGATCCCTGAGCTGGCGCCCCTTTCTTCGCCGCCGAAAGGTGGGGGGGCGAGAAATGTCTCGCCAGGCGCTAGCCGCCTGGCGAGATTTACCGGCGTCGGTTTAGTTTTTTTTTATTATATTAATTTGTTATATTATTTATTTAAATTTAATTGTTATTTATGAATTGTATAGTAATTGTAATTTAATTGTTACTATTAGTAATTATAAATCTTATGAAATTTAGTTTAATTATTTATTATTAGTTAAATTTATAATTTATAGTTTAATGGTAGGAATTTATTTTTATTAGTTTAATTTATTTAGGAATTTATTTTTATTAGTTTAATTTATTTAGGAAACACTATTATTAAAAGTATATGTTTAATCTTCAGTAAATAAATTAGTTATAATACTTTTGTAGTTTTAGGAATTCAATTGTAGTTTTAGGGAGCTTAACGGTTTTTAAAATTTGGATTATTATAAAAGTTATTATAAGTAATTTAATTATAGAAAATATATTTATTGGATTAGTCGGTTTAATTGTAATTAGCCTCAAAAAAATATCAAACGTAGAAATTAAATACTTAGTATAGGAAAATTAAATAAATAAGTTCAAATTAAAAAAAAACAAGAGGTTAGTAGATAATTAGAGTTAATAAAATATTTATTTAATTGTGGTTAAAATTAAATAATAAATTATATATTTATTTAATTTTGGTTAAAAAATGAAAAATAAAATATGTAGATATTATTAATTGTACTTAGTAGAATTAATAAATTGTACACTTAAGATGTATAGTAGATAATTTTATAATTAGGTATTTAAATAATATAAAACTGTATTAAAGTAATTAACCTAAGTTACGTGTAAAATTTAAAACTTTTGTAGGATGGGATATCACCTCTTGAGGGATCTGGACATCGGCATGCAGTTACGCACAATCTGTATGCCGAACATCGAGCAGAAAAAGAAAAAAAGTTAAAGAAAGTGAAAAATGTACATCTTACGTTTGGCTCACTTGGTGAGTCAGCCAACGTAGACGATGATGATGATTTTGAGGGAGAAGAATCAACAGAGGATAGTTTTGAAAGTGGGGGGGACGATGTGGATGAGAAGGATGACACAGCCGAGTATTCCTCGTCCGAGAGGAGGGATATACATTTTGGAGGTAACTCAGTACTGAACCTCATTGGTCATACTGATGATCAGACTCCAGTTCACCCTACCCGGGGGGAGGGGGGGAAGACCCTTGTTGGATTATCGGCTCTGAATTCAGCTTACACTCCTGGTGGTTCCAGTGTTCGTGTCGGCCCACAGAGTACTCTTTTTAGAAGTCCCAGTACTACTCTTCATCATGCCGGCCCGCAGAGTACTCTTTTTAGAGGTCCCCCTCTGACTAGTCAGCCTCGTTCCCATTTTGGTGGCGCATCCATTGGTGCCTCTATCCGTCCTAAGGCAGCTGTATCGTTATCAGGTACGTATTTGTAACAATTTCAGCATTCATTATTGCTTGGTCAATTTCTTAATTGCATTCGGTTAAGTATTTATCCACTATTCTTTATTCGGGTTTCAGGTACTAGCAGACATTCTAAGGTTTCTACTGAAGAAACTGACGATTGGGTTGTGACGGACGACGTACCTGGCGGGCCATGTGATGGGTCAGTGATTCCTAGTTTTCTTGGCCACACTGCTTATCAGTTGTGGAATGGAGAACCAAGAGATTACCTGACGATGAAGCCAGTGAAGAAGAGTTTGTTTAGATTGCATGGATGGTATGCGAGGTTGCCGGAGAACGCACAGTTGCAGATTCAGAATACCGGTTTGTATCATTTGATTGATACTATGTATGATGACATTGACCTTGCGCTTATTTCTGCATTCATAGAGAGGTGGCAGCCTGGCACAAATTAACTAAAAAGAGATCAAAATCCAGTACCTTATTTGCGTAAGCTGTATCTCCAGTAACATGTGAACCCTGTGCCACACCGTTTCAAAAGAAGCATTTGCAGTGTCGAGCCATTCCTTTAACAACTTGTGTGAGCTCTCCACTCTACAAGTAGTGGTGTTGCCAAGATGCAAATAAGTGTTGGTCCATGCATGCACAAACTTGTCAGCCACCACTAACTATGTCTTCCTAACATACTCTAGAACGGGCTGAAATTGGGACCAATTATGCTCCAGAAACTGTACTTTTTCTTCGTATTCTTCCCGATTTGCAGCTTCGATCACTGTTTTGAAGGCCTTTTACGCGAAACTTTTTGCTACATGGCATTTCCGTTCAAAATTCTTTTCACATTTTTTTCAACATCCCTGTAAACGTGCCATGTACACAACAAGTGATGTGATGATGGAAATACATCATCAAGAGGCCTCATCAATCCAGGCTCCCAATCAGTCACGATGACACTCGGATGCAGATCATCGCCATATAAGTTACGGAGCTACCACAGCGCCCAATGGTAGCTGTCCCCCGTCTCATCACTCAGAAGAGCATATGCTACAAGGAATGTCTGATTGCAAGGGGTCATTCCAACAAACTCCATAAGAGGCATTTTATATTTGTTTGTGTTGCATGTGGAATCTACACAAACAACCCAAGGATACGTCCGCAACAGCAACAAAGAATCCGGATATGCGAAAAACATGTGGGATAACCTCTGTGTCTCTTCATCTCACTCCGTGATGATGATATATTTGTGTTGTTCTGCGACCTCTAACACCTTTCCCACGACGTCCATGGCAGCCAGGTCATCTAGTATTGGAAACCCCTCCTTACGCAAATGATTTCTGTAGTTGTAGACTTGTTTGGAGGTAACCTTTTCATCAGGAAATTGTATCCATATCGCCCGTAAAATGTGGACTGCCTTAGTCCCAGATTTAGAGTACTCCTTAATAAGCTCTTTCACTTCTGCATTCAATGGCCTCCTGACTCGAGGTGGATCTTTCAATGAATGATTGTGCATTCCCCACGGACCTGGATATACACGGATCGCCCACCTACCATATATCTTGCAAATAGTAACGCGAAACTGGCATCCGGTCATCTGTGTCTTTGTATTGACTCGGGTGCGCACGTTTTTATCTATCTGTTGACCTTGGTACCGCCCTCCTTTATGACAAAGGAGTATAGTACTATTATCCTTGTGCGAGGATACACTTAACTCCATGTTGTAGATGTTCGCAATACCCTTCGCATATGCAACAGCTTCCTTCTTCGTGGCAAAAGTCTCGTCTGTAGCAAAAGCCGGACTATAATCGACTCCATCTCCCTGATCAAACCTATCCTGCACACATTAAAAACGAATTATATCATAACTTAAATTAACTCTAATAATATTAAACCACAAATAATTTGCTATGAACAAAAAAATATATATATAATTCGATATAATAATCTTATACTTTAAAGATAATTAATATATACTAATAACAAATTAAATACATTATTAACAAAAACTCATTATTTTAACAAAAATCCTATACCCTAACACCTATACCCATTAACATACTACCTAAACACCCATTTAACAAGAAACAAACTATTTCATATGAACATACTACATAATTAACATAATTAAAACATATAATAATTTAAATACATTATTAACAAGATATTAACTCATTTAATATAACAACTACAACCTATGAACAATATGCGTAATTAAAAAACATTCTCTACATATCATAAACCCTAATTAGCATAAACCCTAATTTTCTAAACAAATATTAAACTACCAAAATAATACTCAAATAAAATAAATACATGAATTAATTAAATTTATTAAACTAATAATAATATTTATTAAACTAATAAATATTAAATATATTAAAAAATTAAAAAAAATATTTAAATTAAAAAAAAAATGGGTGGTGCCCGTCGTGGTTGGCGAGCATTTGCTTGCCAACCCGGACAAAGGTGGCGCCAAATCTGGCGCCACCACTTCGCTAATGGCGAAGGCCGTCTCGCCTCCCTGTAAAGGGAGGCGAGTTTATTGTATTGGGGTGGCATGTCTGGCGCGTCCCTCCCGCGCCCCCCTCTCCTTTTTCGAAAAAAAAACTTACCTCCATTTTGCAGGGGCGTGTCGGTCTTTCGCGGGCGCTCAAATGAAATAATAAGGGTGCTCAACAGTTCGACCCTTAAAAAAAAACACAAAGGATACAGATTACAGAACAGAATCAGTGCCGCCGATATTCTGAATTGTTGCAACAAAATGTGAAAATGGTTCTTTACATTAGGCTAAATGCATATTTTGATTATTCATATTAATATTTCACTAAAATAGTCATGTACATTTCAGAATGTAACTTTGTTTAGTCCTCTGATAGCATCATACATTTTAAGCAAATTTAGTATCAAGTCAATAGGAGTATTTTTGGAATACTATTTCAATTATTGAAAAAAATTGTATTGGATAAAACATAAGATAAATATTAAAATAATTACATAAATAAAAATAATTAAGAATTTAAATTAGATATAAACGAAACATAGTAAAAACAAATTGTACTTTTTTTGCAAAAGTTTTATATTATTTTTGATTTGATAGACTTAGGATATATTAAAAATATTACTCTTATGAAAATCTCTAAGATAAAAAAATAATTAAGTTAAA